GTTTGCATAGCATGTTGTTTGCATTGCATCGTGTTCAATCGGACGTTATGTTGAACACAAGGTGGATTGGTCCACTTCATACTCAAAGCAATGAAAGTGAGCCAATCCCCTTTGTCTCCATTGCCTTTGATTTTCCATGATAAGGTAGTGGTCTTAGAGTCTTGTTTGTCTTGCATTTATTGGAATATGTGCAAGTTAGATCTTTATCCATCATGCATTGCATGCTTGATTGATGGTTTTAGATCCAATGGTACCTCTCGTTTGATGTTTTGAGATTATAAGGAGTGGTACAGTACATACATGCCCTAGGGAGACCCTCATTTTCCTTTGTTTTGTGCCCTATTGCAGTTTGGTGTCACAGCACACCAGTGGCCGACAGTGCCACACTGATGGCTGGCACCCTTGCATTGTTGGCTGGTAGAGGCCCACTCTTGGCTGGCAGCAACTTCTCATGGCCGGTAGGCCACTGGTGCACTCCCCAGCATTGGTTTGGTAAGTTTCAGCAGCAAGTTCTTGAAGACACCCTGCAAACAAAGCCTCTAAAGAGAAAACTGGAAGGCTTTTTGGGGCGAGAAACCGAATGTGTGCATGTAGGTTCAACATCTTCAAACAGAGCTGGGGCAGCTTAGTTTAAAGCTTTAGTTATTAATTAGTTGGTTTTGTAATTTAATTAATTAATTTGTTAATTAGTTAAATGTTGTAATAATTAGTCTAATTAGTTTAATTAGATTAGTTAGCTTAGCTTAGTCTTCATTCGGACCCTCCCTCGTGAGGGCGTATTGTTGTAATAAGTGTGCGTGCATGTCTTCTAAACCCACTTCTTTCTCCCTTTTACTTAACTGCTTTTGATGGTTAGTTTAGGGCATATTTCAATTAGCATCCTTACGCTTGCATGTGTGCATCATTCATTTGTCTTGCATGCACTGGGCTCGGTGCATCATTCAAACTGCATTGTATTTCAATACTTATTTGAATTCGTGTTTCAAAGCATATTATCAAGTGTTGCATTCATATGTCATTTTAGATAGCCGAGCCTATTTAGCTGCGTTTTGCATGTGTTGCATTAGGCATTCTGTATAGTTAGGATCATGCATTGATTTCTAACTAGCTTCTGTTTTGGCTCGAAGTATACTGTAAGTGTTTACGCTTTAGCATCCTTGCATGGGTGTGAGTGTTGCCATGATAGCATGCTTGCCATGATAGCATGCTTGCCATGAGGCTATTTGCTTAAATGCTTAACTACTTGAATGCCTGTGGGTGAAGGCTTGATTGCCTGAATTGGAACAACTCAATGATTGTGAGTTTTAAGCCCACTTTGCGAAGTGGCAAAATCATGTTTTAAGCCTACTTGAGGGTGGCAAATCCGCGCTTTAGCCTACTTGCGAGTAGCACTTCCAAGCCATTTTCAAAAGACAAACATGAGTTGTTTTGTTCCAATTCTAGTGATTGGGTCTATACTTGTATGCTGTGCGCATCACATAGTAAAATTAGACTAATAACCGGAATAAGAACACATGTGTTTATAAAACAACATATCATGCTTAGTAGAGGCCGATCCTTTGATCGGGCGAGCGGGGGTGCTCATTTCAGGACCTTCCCCTCTTGTACCCAAGTTCCCGAGCCGAGGCAACTTTGGTGATGACGGACACGTGGCCTTTGGCACGAGTCAGGATTTCCTAAATTTTCCCAAAAACAAAACATTTAGGTGGTGACTCTGTAATCTGGTAAAGCAGTCCATGTTTGGCGCTTTTTATTCAAAATCGATTTTCCAAAACGATTTGCCGGATTTGTACTCTTTGGTGTTTATCAGTCTTACATTGCACTTTGTGAGATTAGATTTAGAACCATGACAGGAGTCCGAACTGTAGTAAGACCAATTCGTGCCTTCTCCGAAATGGGGGTGTGTGAAGAAAGTCGGGTTTACAGGGAGATATGCCCATTTGAAGTCGGGTTTGAAAACAGATTTTTTTCCGCAAGTAGCTGGCCGGCCACTAAAGTAGTAGGCCGGCCACTAAAGGTCCCTGGCCGGCTAGTTGATAAAAAATTTGGCCATTTAGAGTGGATTGGCCAGCCAGGTGTCCCTATAGGCTAATTTTAGTGGTCAGCCGTCTCCCACATGGCCAGCCAGCCAGCCAGGTGTTCTAGTAAAATAGATATTTTGTTGCCAGCTGTCCCTCTATGTGCATATACTACACCAGCTGTCTCTATACATATATTTCCAACTGAGGCACCTGTTTTTCTATATATAGATGACCACCCCTCTTGAAATTAAGTTATAAAAAATTTCTAAAGGACCAAAACTTGTAAAGCACACACTTTCTCTATCTTGCAAATCCATCAACAATGTAACTAGTATTGTCATTCGGGAATGGGAGATGTTGGGTGCTATTGGTGAGTTTGACTTGCATCTTGGCGAGTCCGTGGAGTCTGCAACCTTGTTTTTGGTAGTTACACATCCTACACTTGTGAACTGAGTGATAGAAGCATAGAGGGGTGACCTTGCGGTAGAATTCCTCCGGGAGAAGATCTCCAGTGGGAAGGTAGAGAAAGGCTTGAATGTGTATCTGGATTTAAGTGTTAGATATCGTGACCATTTTTTCGTGCCGAGGTCTTGCCGAGAGGAAGTACTCCGAGAGTTTCACCATTCACGCCTTGCGGTGCATTCGGGAGGCACAAAGATGTATCAGGACCTTAGTCGCCAATTTTGGTGGAGGAGAATGAAGAAGGATGTGGCTGCGTTTGTATCAAGGTGCCTTGTCAACAAGTGAAGGCCGAACATTAGGGGCTAACCATTTTGTTGCAACCCTTGCTTATAGCCGAATGAAAGTGAGAGTATGTCACGATGGATTTCGTTATGGGTCTTCTGAGGACTTAATGGGATAATGATGCAATTTGGGTAGTAGTTGATCGGTTAACCATGTCGACGTACTTTATACCTATGCGCGTGAGTGACTCTGTAGATTATCTTGCCGACCATTATATTAGGGATATAGCGAGGTTACACGGGATCCCTGTGACAGTTGTTTCAAATAGAGATCGGCGTTTCACAGCTCGATTGTGGTAGAGCCTACAGAGTGCCTTGGGTACTAGATTGACTTTTAGCACCGCGTATTATCCTCAGACTAACAGGCAGTCAGAACGCATCATTCAGATCTTTGAGGATATGCTTTGGGGTTGTATTCTTAACTTTAAGGGGTCGTGGGAGAAGCACTTGCCCTTAGTGGAGTTTGCCTATAACAACAGCTTCCTATTAAGTATTTGCATGGTACCGTTTGAGGCCTTATATGGCCGACTGTGGGAGCCGAATTTTAAAGGAGGCATACTTTAACAGACAGGTATTGTCGACTCTGTCCAGAACCATCAGGGTGCCGAATATAAAGGGCAGATGGGCCGAATAGGTACTGAGCTATGGAGCCGAGCAAGTATGAACATAATGAGCGAAAAGTGGACTTGGCCCTGAGGACCAGGGAACGAGTATAAATAAGGGAATAGCAGACTGAGAAAGGTATGTGATAAGTGTGGTGTTTAACTTAGAATACAAGTAATCTAGAATGAGAGACTGACTTGTCCGTCGGAGTGCTAATTTCGGCACCCCCGACCGGAGTGTTTACTTCCTTTCAGGTGCCTATCGGTGGATCACGCTTCCCGAGAAACACGTAAATTCCAAAAACCACTTCCTCACAATTGGCGCTGTTTGTGGGAATACTCAAGCACATCCATGACGGACGCGACGGAGGACCCTCCAATAGTCGCTGATGAACGACTTCACTCTAACAAACATGCACAGACCGGAGCCTAACCCAGTAAGACGCGCTTTGAACTTCGGTTCACCTTCGACTCCAGAACATGTGGCAATGTAGGCGATCATGGACCAGGCAAAGCAAAACAAGCAACGGTTGGAGAACATGATCATTGAGAATGAACGTCTCCGTCAGGATTTGGCACTGGAGGTGGCAAAGTCCAAACAAGCCGTGCGCCAAGACCCGGAGCGACCTTTGAAAGTAGGTGGTCGACGACCTCGAGCCCGTCAACAAGACACTGATAGCGACTCCGACTCACTATCACCGGAGCCCAAAAAGAAAGGACGACCTACAATTTCCATCTCCTCTGAAGAGAGCCCATGCGTAAGGCATAAGCGCAGAAGAAACGGCTCAGATGACGAGGACCAGCATGATCCTTTTGTGCGACGGATCGCAAGGGCAACCTTGCCCAAAAAGTTTAAAGCTCCGTCATTTACTCTCTACGATGGCAAGTCAGACCCCACTGATCATATCCGCCACTACAAGCAAGCCATGACATTGCATGCAGATGACGAAGCCCTCATGTGCCGAATATTCCCCAGCAGTTTAGGACCACTGGCAGTTAGGTGTTATTACAAACTGGAGCCAGCTTCGATCAAAACTTTCCACTAATTACAAAGGTCTTTCAAGGCCAGATTCATCACAAATGAGGTCCGGTTGAAACAAGTCGATTCTCTCTAGGCAATGCAAATCCTGTCAGGAGAGATGCTAAGAGCATATTCGGCACGATATTGGGAATGCTTTAATCTTGTAGATGATGCTTGCAATGACTCCATGGCCATCACCGCCTTCAAAATGGGACTACACCCAGATAGTGCCCTCCGCAGTTTCTTGACCAGAAGACCCTCCAAAACAGTCTGGGGGTTGATGAAGAAAGTAGAAGAATACTGTAAAGTAGAAGATGACGCTTTGCGGGTTAAAGCCGGACACAGTACCACCAAAACAGCCCCCCCTGAGATTGCCCAGCCAATAAGTTCCGTACCTCCTCAGAGCCATGAATCATGCCAGTGGACTAAATGAGATAAGAAACGAGATTCTCGCCGACCAAGCGATCAGTGCCCACACCGAACAAATGAGCAACTGTAAGTTAATAATAAGCGCACAAAGTGCGCCGACAAGAAATATACAGAGCTGTCAGATTCAATCAGCTTGGTTATGTCCCAAATCCAACATCTCCCTTTTTTTAAATAACCATCCAAAATGGTGGGACCTCCCGGCACGAGAAGACAGGACAGACGGTGTGAATATCACAAAGATCACGGTCATGATGCGAACAACTGCTATGCTCTGAAAGACCACCATGAGGAATTGGTGCAAGATGGTCGGCTTCAGCAGCACGTACGAAAGAACACAATCAAAACTGTTGCCCTTCGGCAGGATTCGCCTCCGCTGGGCATCATTCGTATGATATATGACCTTCCAACGCCACTTGCCGTATACGTAATTCAAGCCCCCCAGAAGCAACGCACACCATCGAAGCAGCCCCACGAAGCTCCGAGTATTATCTTCAACGATTCTGATCTTATCGGCGTAACACTCCTCCATAGTGATCCATTGGTCATTGAGCTACACGTAAATCGATTTGTCGTTGAACGCGTCTTCATTGGCTTCCCATCCATTGTTTAGCTTCAACGCGAATCTAGAGTATCCGTTGGGGAAGATCACACTACCCGTTCGAGCTGGCTCCCGAACACTGGATGTAGAATTCTTGGTCATCAAGCTCCCATCGCCGTATAATATCATCATGGGGCGAACTTGGTTGCATGCTATCCAAGCCGTGCCTAGCACCTACCATCAGCTGCTGCACTTTCCTACCTAACACGGTATTGAGCAAATCCGTGGTTCTCGGCACTCCGCACCAGCATTCTGTCCCCCTCCCAAAATACCGAATCGAAACATCCTCGACTAACACGGTCATCATCGGAAGGATTCCATATCGGCTCAGAAACACGTTACGGCCATAGAACTCGAGAATTGTCATTAAACCCAACTTTTGGGGAATGATCTTAGTTCTAAAATGATTCTCCATGTACATATTCCTCTGTTGTAAATGCAAGGATTCTTGTTGGGCATATATAATCCCATCCACTGCAAAATCTAATTAAAAAGGGCATTCCGACCAAAAAGCCCCCTTGGCGCATGACACAGTTGGCCGATAAAGCCTCTGGATTCGGAGTGTCCTCCGTGGATATCACGATTGCCCAAGTAAAGCCTCGGGATTCGGAACCCCCTTGGCGCATGACGCCATTGGGCTGATAAAGCCTCTGGATTCGGAGCGCCCTTCGTGGATATCACGATTGCCCAAGTAAATCCTCCGGATTCGGAGCCCCCTCGGCGTATGACGCCATTGGGCCGATAAAACCTCCGGATTCAGAGCGCCCTTCGTGGATATCATGATTGGCTAAGTAAAGCCTCCGGATTCAGAGCCCCCTCGGCGTATGACGCCGTTGGGTCGATAAAGCCTCCGAATTCGGAGCCCCCAGGCGCACGAGGCTGTTGGGACGATAAAGCCTTCGGATTCGGAGCGCCCTTCGTGGATATCAAGATTGGCCAAGCAAAGCCTTCGGATTTGGAGCCCCTTTGGTGCATGACGCCGTTGGGCCGATAAAGCCTTCGGATTTAGAACGCCCTTCGTGGATATCACGATTGGCCAATTAAAGCCTCCGGATTCGAAGCCCCCTCGGCGCATGACGCCGTTGGGACGATAAATCCTCCGGATTCGGAGCACCCTTCGTGGATATCACGATTGGCCAAGTAAAGCCTCCGGATTTGGAGCCCCCTCGGCATATGACGTCGTTGGGCCGATAAAGCCTCCGGATTTAGAGCCCCCTCGGGGCATGACGCCGTTGGGATGATAAAGCTTCCGGATTCGGAGTGCCCTTCATGGATATAACGATTGGCCAAATAAAGCTTCCGAATTCGGAGCCCCCTCGGCGTATGACGCTGTTGGGCCGATAAAGCCTCCAGATTTGGAGCGCCCTTCGTGGATATCACGATTGGCCAAATAAAGCCTCCGAATTCGGAGCCCCTCTGCGCATGATGCCGTTGGGCCGATAAAGCCTCAGGATTCAGAGCCTCCTCGGCGCGTCACGCCATTAGGCCAACAAAGTCTCTGGATTCGGAACGCCCTTCGTGGATATCACGATTGGCCAAGTAAAGCCTTCGGATTCGGAGCCCTCTCGGTGTATCACGCTGTTGGGCCAATAGTCTCCAGATTCGGAGCGCACTTGGTGCATAACGCCGTTGGGTCAATAAAGCTTCCAAAAACCGAATAACATTCCAAATTCGAAGCGCCCTCAGTGCACATCAGATTAGGGAAATGTAACTCGAGCCGGCATAATGGCATAAACGAAACAAAACGTGCCAACACTTGAAATAAGATGCTTAACAAAAATTCACAATGAAATACAAACTTTTAAAATAAAGCATTTTATTCGATTAAACAATAATTACAAAAACGTAATTCGCGTTCGAGCATTACAAAGTCTACTTTCATACAGCGTCACCTTCATTCTCACCCTTCTCAAATTTCGAAGGCGAAAGAGGGAAAGTGGTCGTGAAGGTACAGCGGCAGCGCCGGATCGACGCCCGCTGCCGGAGAGCATCCGTAGCTCGAAACTCTTCGATCTGACTGCGCTTGAACCCACAATGTTCACACCGGCGTGACAATCATCCTCAAGGTCGAGAGCCTTGACACCATAGACAATGTTAAGGCCAAGATCCAGGACAAGAAAGGAATTTCCCACAAAAATAGTAAAATTCAACGGTTGGAGCACTACGTCGGCCTCTTCCTTCCTTCGGGGTGATCTGCTTCGACGACTTGGAGGTTGACGTTCTTCCCGTTGTTTGAACGCCCCACCCCTCATATGGGTGGGTTCCTTACTGCGATTCATTGCAGTGTCAAGCTCAGCCAAGGTTTGAGCCCCTCTTTTGCTGTTGAAGAAAATTCCATTTGACATTCACATTTGTCTGCCCCATGCAACAAAGTTGTTTGAAAGCAAGTCTGAACACAGTAAGTGAAATTACTAGGGAAAAAATTCCGAGGCAATCTATTTTTAATCCTTGCGGTGACCCCGAAGCAACGTCATTAATACTGAACTCCAAAAGACGGATGCCGATAGATGTTCGCCATAGCCATTCCATGAACTAATTTTTGGCTTTTTTGAGTTAAAATGGACTAATTATGGCAATTAAAGATAGGATGACAGTTTCTGGATTCGAAGCCCCTGGAGCATGGCACGTTTGGGCCAATTATGCCTCCGAATTCGGAGCCTCATCGACGCATCATGCTGAGCGATACAAGTCTCCGAATTCGAAGCCTAATCGGCGGAGCGATCATGACAAGCCGGCACGTAACCGTTCAGAATTAAATGACTACTTGAGCTAGACAATGTTTATACAATGAAAACATATGCAAACACCTGTGTGCCGAATGTAGATTACAATGAAACATTTAAAATATTACGTTTTATTCAATCAGGCAACAATTACACAATTACATAGTATTTTTATATGGCGTCGTCCTCATCCTCACGCTTTTCGACTTCAAAAGTAGAAAACGAAAAATGATTACGTTGGTAGAGTGGCAGTGACGAATCAATTCCCGACGCCCGGAGAGCATCCGTGGCTTGAGATGCCCTGATCTAACCGTGCTTAAAGCCACGATTCTCACATCGGTAAACTTCTTCGGTGAGCTTCTCTTTGGTCTTCTGAATTCCGACCAGTCGGCCGTCATGAAAGCCCTTTTCATAGGCCACGTTTCTCGTTGTCTCGATCGCAAACATGCTCGTTGTATTACAATTGGCGATCGCATCACTAATCAGCCTTTGAGTAACCCTCTCTGCGACAACCGGGTTGGGGGGGACGGCTGATTGGGGTGACGCAGGCTTGTTTTTCCTTAGCTCGCGCTCGGCCTTTTCGACGCGAGCTTCTAACTTCTGAATGCGTTCGTCTCTCTGTTCTATGTCCCGACGAAAGGCGTAGAGACACATACCGATCTCATAAGCCATGTAAAGTCCCCTTACCGTCCCGTGAACGCCTTCACGAAACACTTCGAAGTCCGAACGACCTACTATCGACTGTTGAACTTCGGGCCGAACAATCTGTCGAGTAAACTTGACTGCCACATTTGGGTCTTGAATGATGGAATCCGCCTCCGTCATCGGTCGGTTACCCACAAAGACTGCAAAACTCAATGGGCGAGGAGTTGCGTCGGATTCCCTTCCAGGATGAGATTAAAGAGACTTATGCTGTGGCTGACTATCCCTCCTAGGCGATCTACTTCGACGTCGAGGAGATTGGTGTCTCTCTCGACCCCTCAACGTCCTACCGCCCATGCGTGATGGTTCACCGCTTCGATTCATGGCACCTCCCAGCTCAGGTAGCGTCTTCACTTGAGCTCTGCTATTGAAGAAAAGCTTATTTGGCATTCGCACTTGTTTCGCCTTCCTCAAAGAGTGGGACTGAGATGCTCATTTAGCACGTAAATAGGACCCTCGTTCACGAAGTACACGCCCATTTATTCCCTACAAGGGCAGTGTCTCCGAGGCTACCTCATTAATAATGAAGCGTAAATAGCCCATCCTGTACCGTCCTTGACGTCCCAATCACCCCAATCACCGACTGGACCAAGCCCCAATCGCCCCATCAACCTCTGATATATGGCGTTCTCGGTTCATGAACCATCTGGGGCAAGGGTAGATTCATCAATCTATACGGCTCGAGTGCCCCAGCCGTTCCACGAATCGATTTATCTGAGCACTAGTCTTGAATTCATTTTGTTTCTGACTAAATCAGATCAATATATACAGCTCGAGTGCCCCAGCCGTTCCACGAATCGATTCTTACGTGCAAAATTTATTACGTTTTATTCGGCGTTCTACGTTCGTGAACCAACTGGGGCAAGGGCAGATTCATCAATCTATACGGCTCGAGTGCCCCAGCAGTTCCACGAATCGATCTATCTGAGCACTAGTCTTGAATTCATTTTGTTTCTGACTAAATCAAATCAATATATACGGCTCGAGTTCCCCAGCCGTTCCACTAATCGATTCTTACGTGCAAAATTTATTGCGTTTTATTCGACATTCTACATTCGTGAACCGGTTGGGGCAAGGGCAGATTCATCAATCTATACAGCTCGAGCGCCCCAGCCGTTCCACGAATCGATGTATCTGAGCACTAGTCTTGAATTCATTTTGTTTCTGACTAAATCAGATCAATATATACGGCTCGAGTTCCCCAGCCATTACACAAATCAATTCTTACGTGCAAAGTTTTTAACGTTTTATTTGGCGTTCTACGTTCGTGAACCAGTTGGGGCAAGGGCAGATTGATCAATATATCTAGCTCGAGTTCCCCAGCCGTTCCACGAATCGATTCTTACGTGCAAAATTTATTACATTTTATTTGGCGTTCTACGTTCGTGAACTAGCTTGGGCAAGGGCAGATTCATCAATCTATACGGCTCGAGTGCCCCAGCCGTTCCACGAATCGATTCTTGCGTGCAAAATTTATTACGTTTTATTCGGCGTTCTACGTTCATGAACCAGCTGGGGCAAGGACAGATTCATCAATCTATACGGCTCGAGTGCCCCAGCCGGTCCGTGAATCAATTTATCTGAGCA